CTCGCTTGTCTCCTTTTTGAGATCAACTGAAGTCGTGTTGGCCCCAATATGCAGTGACCTATTACTTACACCTAAATCCTTCCTTGGCTTATACTTTTAAAGTAACGCCAAACGAACCTAAACCATCGATCCCTAACTCTGCCTTCTGGCAACGAAATCGATAACGTACTCCTTTACTTCTTTGGGTTTTTATCGCTTTCGCCTTGAATCCATCATTTTCCTAGTGCCAACCATTCTACGATTACAGAATATAATTGATATCAGCTCCTCTTAACAAACCGTAAATAGAGTACAACGAATCCTAATATGGGCTCTAAGTTTTAAGAGACGCAACGCGGAAGTCACATAACGAAGACACTCCTAAGGACACTTGAACCTGGAGTGCTCTGATACCAACTGTGATACCCCCGGATTTCTGAATGCGGGTTGGCCAGGCCCACACCCGAATACCCTAGGATATTAAAACAAATTGATAATAAACGAACACAGAGTACAAAAGAATAAAGAAAAATAAATAATATGCTGACAAAAAACTAAAATGATAATCTAATAATAAACCTCAGAATATATTTCTATTAGTTAATAAACTCTTATGATACAACTGATCCTCCAAAATACAACTCGGGAATCCATACTGTGTGGACCCCTAGAAAATCCAAACAAAACAAATGACAGTAATAACTGTCTAAATTAGGAAACTGAATCATAAAGGAACTCCTATGTAGCATCGGAAGAATGAAGTAGACTGATCATCGCTCAACACGAATAACCTCTACTCCTGACGAACACCTGAAAAATAATGGTGGGTCAGGCTCACAAACAAGTTCTACTCTACTACAGTCCAAGCAAAGATCCGATACACGTATACATCCTAGTCAATCCAACAGCAACTAGTAGTCCGTATATATATATATACACACTAAAGGAACCTCGCTAGATTATAGGGTTGTCTCAACCTGAATAGTAGGCAACATGCAAAACGCACATATAGTGGGCATGAGTACCTAGACCTACCAGGGTACACAACTACACTATATCTAGCTACACATCCCTAGCGATATACGCGCCCTAACCACTGATCCTGAGACTCAAGCTCGTATCATGGCACCATACTTATATATATATAATCTAATAACTATCCTATCCAGTATAAATTAATTCTCTATAAGTCATTCAACTTGTTCAGCTGACCTGACTTGAATATAAGTAGGACTTAACATTTTAGTTAATCCATTCCCTTATATAATAAATTAATCCTCCATAAGTCATTCAACTTGTTCAGCTGACTTGACTTAAATATAAGTAGGACTTAACATTTTAGTTAATCCATTCCCTTATATAAAATAGGTAGGACTTAACTGATAAGTTAATCCGTCCCTAGAATGCCACCATCCCATACCGGTTCATTAAACCACACAATCCAACAATTGATGTAAAAATTAAGGAAATACATCAAACATTCCAGAAATAACTATGATAATATGATATCAAGTTATCACATAATAAGAATGACTTATTTTTTATTTAAGCTTCCTATATCATATGTCCTACACAAACTGAATCTTATACATGATGATATTTTATTATACCGTTAAATAAGTATTCTCCATATCCAATTCATCATACACATTCAATCTCAATTATAAAACATTCAAATAGCAAACATCATTATGATTGAGTCTATTTAAATTTATTAAAACCCAAACTTAGTCCCTATTTAATGTTTAGGAATCCTAGGCATGTTTCTACGTTCCATCATTCCACAGATATAAAAAATACATAATTTAAATATGTAAAAATTCACACAAGAAATCAAATCAAAATCATGCATTTTATCAATTCATAACACAAGAATAAATATGAACTAATTTCATAAAACCTATGTTATAACCCAATTAAACATGCATAATTATTTAATTTTATGTGTTTAATAAATCCTGGAATTTCCTAGGCATGTACAGAAATACGAATCAAAGGGAAAGAGATAGAAGAAAAACTTACCTTAAACTTTCGGATCTAAAGTTAAACTTCTTCTTCCTTGATCTTCTCTCTACATGATTTTTTTCCTCCTTCCTTCATTTTTCTCATTTCCTCTCTAACTCTCTCTCTCTCTAGAATATATCACGTGAATATTTCTAACCCCCTTTTACAACCTATAATTATATATTTATAGGCTAAATAAAATAACCCTAACCCTTTTTTTCCCAATCCAAGTCAACTTAAAAAAAATAAATATTGAAATATTAAAAAGGTAAATAAAATATGTTACGTATATAATTTATGTATATCTTTATTAAATAAATAAATTATACACATCCCATTATTTATTAATGGATTATCCAATAATACTTAAGTTACTTTAATATTATAAAGTAACTTAAAACATAATACGTATCAAATCTATGTATATTTTTTATTATTTGAATATAAAACATATACATTAGATTAAATATTACTACCCAAGTTACCATAAAAGTAATTAATAAATTATTTTCCCTTTTATATATATTAAAAAGGTAAGTAAAATATGTTACGTATATAATTTATGTATATGTTTATTAAATAAATAAATTATATACATTCCATTATTTATTAATGGATTATCCAATAATACTTAAGTTACCATAATATTATAAGGTAACTTAAAACATAACACGTATAAAATCTATGTATATTTTTATTATTTAAATATAAAATATATATATCAGATTAAATATTATTACCCAAGTTACCATAAAAGTAATTAATAAATTACTTTCTTTTTTTATATATGTATATAATATATATCTATATATATACATACACAACTATCCATGCGTAATAATCCATACACATCTAACCTCCTATCAAAGTAGTCCATGGGACCCAATTGGTTGGCCCATTACTACTAACCATAACCACAAAAAAAAAATAATAATAATAATAAAAGAAAAGAAAACATTTAGTTTACAATTAAACAATTAACACATAGACAAATAAAAATAATACACAGACACATAATCAAATAATCAAGTAATATCTAATTCAATTAAACACATAAGCAATTAGTCAAATAATCAATTAAATAATTAACAATACAATTAAAACAAATAAATAAATACCGAGACTATTCTTTTAAAATTAGGAGTATTACTGGGACAAACTGGCTGATTTATTTCATGGAAAATATATACAAGGATACACTCTGTTTATTCGTGGATACACTTTCACACTTTATTGTATAAAGAAAACTGAAAGAAGTCACAAAAGAAAATACAGTGGAAACGGAAGGCTGGTATGCTTGATAGTTCTAGACTTAATTACTCTAAAACTCGATGATCGTTACTTGAGCAGAGATGTTCCTTTTATTTAAACAAAATGCTTTGACTTTTAGTTCATGTTAGGGTAAATATGCAAATTACGTTCATGTATGGGTAATATACCTTTTCTGCTACCACTTATATGTAAATTTCCTAAAGCTAAAAGGTGGTGTTGCACTGTTGGCTGATGTATCTCACTTTAAAAAGCCTGCTAATCCTAAACACACGCCGTTACCATTAGGGATGCCAATTTGACCCGCCTCCGCTGTTACCCGCCCCACCCTGCACCGTTTTTGACGGTTTTGGGGAACCATTTTACTTATTTGGGCGGAGATGATTTGATATAATAAAAACCCGCACGAGTTTGGTGCGGGGGCAGGGGGAGGTCGCCCCGCCTTGTTTAGACAGGTAAATTACTTAAGTACCCATATTTCATTAGTATATATATTTCCCACTATATATTTAGTACCCTATATAACAATATTAAAGTAAAAAATGAATTTGATTAAAAAGAAATTTGCAATGGTGAATAATTAAAGATGAGGGGGAAAAAAAAAAAGAGCAAATCTATTTCAACAATAAATAAATTATGGTTTTAAACGGGGTGGGGCGGGTACCCGTGGGAGTAAAAATATTAAACAATTACGGGGATAGGGTGGAAAGTACCTCCGTTTTTGTGGTTTTGGGTTGGGACGGGGGGCAGGATTTTTAAATGGTTGTGGGGGCGGGGGAGGATACACCCGCCCAAACCCGCCCTTGTTGCCATCCCTAGTTACGATGGACGACCGACCAACTCAGGTCAAATTCGAGCTGGCGCTACATGTAATTTAATTGTCTTTATTTAAAAAACGTCATTTTCATTTTCTATTATTAATCTACTTTTATTTGTACAATGAAGGGTGAACCCCAATTTTAAAGTGAAGAGATACACTACATTCAACGAATCTGTTTTTAAAAAATAAAAATAAAAAAATTACCAGGAAAAAAAAAAAAACATCCCATTTGAATTATTATTATTCTTTTTGATAAAGTCATATGAAAACCACCAAACGAATCCACTACTATAAACTCTAAAATTGACCTAGCATTAATGAATCGAAACAACCTCATTCGTTACCTTCTAAGAAGTACGAATACTTCTCTCAAGGTGCTATGGCGACATCCAATATTCGAATATTTTTCAAATACGTTAATATGCCTAGGACATGTATCGGATACAACATGGACGGTGGACATGACAATGATATATTTTAAACACTTTTAGGATACAGCGAAATATTTTTGTAATTATTTAAAAAAAAAAAAAAATTCAATACAATTTAAAATATATTAAAAGTTAATTATAAAAAATATTAAATTTAAGAAAACAAAAATAACAAGTATTTAGCACTAAATTCCAAATTAGTGATTTACTTATGATTATTACTGGTATATGGATAAAATGGCAACAAAGATAATATATATCATATATTTGTCATTTATTTATGATTTTAGCTTTTGATTGGGTTGTTGTTTCAGAATAGTTAGTGGGCTTGTTGTATTAATAAACACAACCATCTGTAAAGCCCAAAACCCCACTCAAACTGAGACACCGAACATAGAAGTTGAGAAGTTGAACATTCTGGGGTTAGTCCTTTCTATGGATGCTTGAAAGAAGGGTTTGCACTCAAGTCTGTAACACAGTCGAGGAGTGAGAGAAGAGAGAAGAGAGAAGAGAGAGGATGTGGAGTTCAATAGTTGTAGCAAGAAGAGCTTCTCTCAGCAGACTCGCAAGAGGATCAAAGTCGCGTTCGATTCAGAAATCTCATCTTCAGCCCCAGGTACCTTACTGTCAAACCCTTATCTCCATAGAATCTCCATTTTCTTCACATTTCTATACATGGGTAGTCGCTCCCACAACCTCCTTTTACCAAAACCCTAGATTTTTCTCTCACGATTCATCAAACCCAACCGATGAATTTGAAAAATCACACATTGAATCCACAAATTCTGAAACCAGTGTAGACGATGTCGTCAGTGATAGTCACAATGTGCTCGACGAAAGTCCTAGCCCAGTTTTACCAGAATTTGAAGATCCCAATTCTTCAATGATTTTCGATGAAAGTAACAATATTGATGCCGATACTAATACCCTAATGGAAGATGGTTTAGTATTGAACGATGGTAAATCAGGTCAAGATAACGTGAATGAGGTTGATTTGGAGCAGTTATTAGAGAATGTACGATCTTTGCTTCAAAGTCATGGCATGGAAGGGTCTTTTGAATCGAGTCTTGAAAATATGGGTTTAACTCTAAACGAGGACTTTGTCATAAAAGTGCTCAAAACCCCGCTTGTTCCGGGAGAAAATTTGATTGGGTTTTTCAGATGGGCTTGGAAGAAGCCAGAGTTTTCGGTAAATACAGGGATTGTAGATGCTCTTGTTCAGGCAATTTGTAGTGATCTTAGAAAGAAAGATGCATATGCTTTGTGGGATTTGGTTAAGGAATTAGGCGAGAAGGAGAATGGCATGTTGAATTCAGAGATTCTCAATCAGTTGATATCTCTGTTGTCAAGGTTGGGTAAAGCGAAGGCTGGGTTTGAGGTGTTTAACAAGTTTGGGGAATTTGGGTGTGTTCCAAATCCAGAAACTTATTATTTTACAATTGAAGCTCTTTGTAGGCGTTCTTTCTTTGACTGGGCTTCCTCCGTTTGCGAGAAGATGCTCAGTGAGAGGAAATTGCCTAACAGTGAGAAAATTGGAAGGATTATATTGTATTTGTGCAAAGTTAGAAAGGCTGAAGATGCTCATAAGGTTTACTTGTTGGCAAAGGAGACAGACAACTACCCTCCTCGAGCTTCTGTTTTTTTTTTGATTGGTGCGTTGAGTCGAGTGGATAAGACAGTTCACTTAGCTTTGCAGATGCTGGAGGGCTTCTCAGGAGAAGAAAGGAAATATGCAACTAAACCGTTTTCGGTTGTCATTAGTGGGTTGTGTAGGATCAATGATGTTGAAGGGGCAAAAAAATTGCTGTTTAAGATGATTGATGCGGGTCCGCCTCCTGGAAATGCAGTCTTCAATTCGATTATTAACAGCCTTTCCAAGGCTGGAGATATGGAGGAGGCAATGAAAATAATGAAAATGATAGAGGATAGGGGCCTCAAACCTGATGTGTACACTTATACTGTCATGATGAGTGGTTATGCAAAAGGGGGTGAGATGGAGGAGGCTTGTAAACTTTTGGCCGAAGCCAAAAAGAAGCACACCAAGCTGTGCCCTGTGACTTATCATACACTTGTAAGGGGGTATTGCAAGCTTGAAAATTTTGACAAGGCTTTAGAATTGTTGGGTGAGATGAAAGAGTATGTGGGTAAACCTAGTGTTGATGAGTACCAAAAGCTGATCCAATCACTTTGCTTAAAGGCTTTGGATTGGGAAACAGCAGAGAAGCTGCTGGGGGAGATGAAAGAGAATGGGTTGTATCTCAATGGAATCACAAGGGGTCTTATAAGAGCAGTTAAGGAGATGGTAGAGGAGGAAGGAGAGGAAGGAGTGGAGGAAGGTGTAATTGTGGAAGCGTAAGTTATAAATTGCTTAGTGAAGGGAAGGAATCGCCCTTACCAATTCTGAAACTTCATTTTCTTCGCCCCATTCTTTGTCATGTAAAAGGAAGCTCTTGCTCCTCATCCGTTGACATTGTTAATCTTTTGGACTCCATGGGTCCTTAAGGTTTTTTTCGTTCTGTATCTGGGATGCGTTCCCCTTTTGAATGCTTTTTAATTGATTATTACTTATCAAAAAAATAAATAAATTGCTTAGTGAAGCGAATGTGCCATGCGAGATGTTGAAGTCATATCTGTAGCCTTTGTCTGTATTTGGCCTTCTGTTTTTTTTTTTTTTTTGTTCATGAGTTAGATAAAGAGGAAAGCTTTGCAGGTAAATCTGTGAAGTCACTCATAGTGCATCTTTCTCACATCTGTTGGAATTGGAAATAAGTTTTGCTGTTCTGATCTATGGTGGTTGAAATTATGCCGTGCATACGCTTACTGTCTAATCCAATAATTTGATTGATAGCGCGATCTCTTAGATAGAATGGAGATTGGTATGTTGAAAGAGAACGCCACCTATGCCCATGATAGAAGCATCACACTCCACCTCAAAAACCTCCTTGAAACTTTTTTTTTTTTTTTGATAAATAAAAACCTTCTTGAAACTTGGCAATGCTAGAATTGGGGTAGTGGACAACTTCTCTTTAATCATTACAAACGCTACCTCCTGATTATGACCCCACTGGAATTTTCATGCACTCAGTGATTGGAGCCACAATGTTACTGAAATTTCGGATAAATCTGCCGTAAAATGTTGCCAATCCATGAGAACTGCAAACAAGACTCACAGTCTCCGGTTTAGGCTATTCTCGGATAGCACGAACCTTTTCTTCATCAACCCGAACGCCATCAGCTCCGACAATAAATCCCAAAAATAGCAATACATCTGTCATAAAGCAACACTTTTTTAGGTTGATATATAACTTTCTAGTATGCATGGTCTGTAAGACCTCTTGTAGATGCTCCATGTGTTCTGCCTCCTTGTGACTGTACACCAAAATATCATCGAAGTACACCACCAAGAATCTGCCAATGAACGGTTTCAGGACCTGGTTCATTCCCATGAAACAGCTCGGTGCATTGGATAAGCCGAATGGCATAACCAACCACTCATACAGTCCCTCCTTGGTCTTGAAGGCTGTATTCCATTCATTATCCGGTCTAAATCCGAATCTGATGATACCCATTTCGCAAATCAATTTTTGGAAAGTTTAGACTAGCATTGCTTAAGCTCTAATTATAACTCAGACTAGTTTGGCACAAATTTGCAGCCAAACTCTTCCAACACTAATTGAGGTCTTGTATGGTGTGGCTGTTAGTAGATTTGTAGAGAAGGGTATTACTTGGGTACTGGTTCTTTCAACTTGGATGGTAGGTTGTTTATCTCCCAGATACGTGCTGTAGGACATTCACCTTTGTTTTTTTATTTTTATTTGTAACTGCTTTACATTGTTGAAAAAGCATAATTGGTGTCTGAGCACCATGTTCTAATACATAGAATTCGTATCATTGAAACTTTTAGGACCCTGAAACAAAAAAGCCTCTGTAAAGATATATGTTGACAAAGAGACTGGAAGAAAAAAGGGTGATGCGCCTGTTTCATTTCTGAAGGTAATGTTTTTATCGAATCTCTGCTGAATCTGAAATTTAACAGTGTCAGATCCTTACTCTTGGCTTTCCATCATCTCTTCCTGTGCATTAGGAACCTTCAGTTGCTCTAGCCCTCCATATTTTGGATGGAGCACCTCTACGGCCTGTGGGCAAGATTCCTATGTCAGTTACCCAAGCAAAGTTTGAGCAGAAAGGTAATATTCGAGGGCCATGGTACACTGATTATGTCATATTGAAAGGATAAGAATTTCATCTTGTTCACTTGCCAGAAAAAAAAAAAAGAGTTTTCATCTTGTTCATTTACCATACAGGATATGGAACCCTCATTTTGTTCTGCTGGATAAAAGATTCTTTTAAACTTTTTCAATAACTTTTCTATATTGTATTAAGAGCTTCCTCTGTGCTTTACAGGGGAGAAATTTATATCCAAACAAACAGACAAGAGAAAGAAAAGGAAACTTCAGAAGGTGGAACAGAAGATGCTTGGTTGGGGTAGGTTTTTATTTTTCATTTAAATTTCCAAAGCTAATATGATATAGGAATTTCACCTTTTTAGACTGCAACTGATTCAAATTTAATTAGACTAATTTCTACTTTTTTCCACAATTCGAAACAAAGTGCAATGATAATTTGTATAACTCTATTTTTATTTCTGTTTCTATTTCTTAAGCTTACCTCTAGTCTTCTTGCTGGATCTGGGAATGATATTTCTGCTGCAGCCAGTTTTTTTATATATGAAAAATACAGTTCTTTGTTGTTTTTCACTATAATTGTTTGTTAAGGGTTTCAGCCTTACATGTTGGTTTTTTTCTATGGCTTGTAAAACTTACTCTTATATTTTCTGAAAATGGGGTGAGCATTTATTTCAGGCCTCTTGGCAGATAAGACACATCAATTATTTAAATATTGTTAGGTGATGGAAAGGAATAGAAGGTGCTTCAATGGAGTGGAGGCTCCTATTTGGGTGATTAAATTCTATATTCTTAGATCGTTAGTTTTTGTGGTTAATGGTTATAATTGTAAATCCTTGGGAGATCTTGTTGATTTTGTGGATAGCTTGAAGGTATAGTGGGTCTTTTGGTCTTTTTTGTATATGGGACGCACTCCCCTTTTGAGCGCTTTCTTTAATGAATATTACTTATAATAATAATGAAAATAATAACAATAATGAAATTAAAATGTGTCTGTGCGTGTTTTTTGCCCACATGGATGCGAAGTTCATAATGTTTGCTGGTATATTTTCTTGTTAGATTTCTTTGGTGTTTTTGCCATATGTAAACAGATCTTTCCTCAGAATGGAGAAGTCCACAAGGTTGATGCATTGAATGTGTAATTTGATTTTTTTTATATTGTGCTATTTTTATTTATTTTTGGTATATTATACAAGGAGAAGTATTTGGAATAGTTGCTGTGTATCATTGATCATGTTTCACATTTATAGTTCTTGATGGGCAGCAGAGCAGGTGTTCTCTCTCTTTCTCTCTCTCTAATTTGTTGAGAAAATATGTGAGGTGAAAAATCATGGATCTGATTGGGACACATTTTTCAGCCCCATGTAACAGTCCTTCCAGTAGGGAATTTGGGTGGCACAGAAGCTGTAATTGGAGACCTAATTAGAGATTGCTCTGTTACGTGTTTTTTCCCCCTAAATATTCCTCTTAAAAGTGTCCAGGTTAGACATTCAATAATTTGTTGTATTAGTAATGCTCTATTAGTGTATTGTGACTATCATAACCCTGTATTTGTCTTTTCTTCCTTTTGAGGTAATCTTGTTAGGTTTGTTTTACTATGATCTGCATAATATCGTTAAAGAAAGAAAGTTTCAAATCGTTCCTTCAACCATATCTCCTTATAAACGTGTAGAATTTTCTTTCAATCTAATAGAATCTTTACTTCTCACCCCAAAGGTACAGTTTATTATGCTTAACCTAATTTTTCAGGTTAAACTTTGTAGATCAATTGATTAGGAGAAAATAATGGCATTGCCTATATTATATTGACCCTCCTAAATGCATGTCAGACAGTTACATAAAAATTCCATTTTTCTATATCTTTGTGTTTGGGATCTAATAAATTCATCTCTTAGATACATATCTGCTCCTAATACATGTGCAATGTATGTGATCATTACCAAAAATGAGGTTTATTAATTATATGTATTTCATCCTCAAATTAAATTATAATTGATGAGTAAAAATGTAACTTCTTTTCTTTAAAAATGAAAGAACCAAAATATATGATTTATTTTATTTTATCATTTTGTTAAATTTCTTGTATATAGGTCTTCAATGTGAATTATACTATAAAAAGTAATAGAAATGTGTGCAGCCACTTAATGGAAGGTTGAACTTGGGGCCACTAGTGGGGATGAGTGTGTCACTTGCCTTCCAAAAAGAAAAAGAATTAGAAAAAAGAAATGGTTGCTTTTTCTGTGTCTTTATCAGCTTACTTTATGATGGTAATTCATTGAGATTCTTGAAGGAAATATTAGAATTCAGTTGATTATCATTTACCATGGTGATTCTAATGTATCAATATATATATTTATATATAATATTGTGATTTGTCAATTATACATGTTTAGAATGTCAAATGAAAAGGTCATAGTTGTTTCTTATGGCAACTCTGTCAAGAAATAGCAATTTCAATAGCATCAGTTATTTTGATCCCAAAATTTTGGTTGGTGAAACAATTATGATACTGGCTTTCTGTTACAAATAAGATGCCACTTAAATGATAGCATCAAATTTGGGGATGGAAAATTATATTTTCACTTATTTAAATAAGATGGCACTTATATTTTCACTTATTTTCATGTGCTACATGCCCTCTTTTGTTTTGTATCAGCCAACTAGTTTGATTGTCATTGGACTTTTAACTTGGATAAATAAACATTGAATATGGGGATTGCAGGCATGTATCCCGATCTACATATTTATTGTCAAGGACTCAGTAATCATTTTGTTATCATTAAACATGTACACTGATTGAATTTGAGGGTGTAATATTACTAGTATATTCTGGAAAAGGTTCAGTGAATCAAACTACTTAACCCTTTTTCTTGGGGCATTTTTTTCCTAGGTTTGGGTAGTTGGTTCTTGATGTCTTGATGGATGTATTATGTGTAAGGTGATGGAAATTCCAGTGGATAGGATATGGTGAAACTGAGGTGGTCTTAGGATAGGAGAGAAATTGGCAGTAGTTAACAGAATGGGCGAGGTACTTCTATCCTAATAAGGCTGTTAAAGATTCGTTTGAACCAGTTTTATGTCTTGATGGCGAAAATAATCAATGTAACCATCACAGAGGTGTAGACTGCAGAAATAATTAACGAACCATTGATTTAAGCCATCAAACTTCAAAAAACCACATGATCCGAAGTCCAAGTAGACCATGGCCACATACGCTCGACAAGCTCTGTGGCTCTTCTTCTAAAAGAGTCAGTTATTAGATATGTTGAGTGCCCGTGCGTTTTGTGTATTAGGGACACGTTCCCTTTTGAACACTTTTCTAATATATTTTACTTATCAAAAAAAAAAATAGATATGTTGAGTGCCCGCGTGGAGACAGCTTTTCAATGGGGAGAGCAAGGGATGGAGATCTGTTTTGTAGAAAATTTACTGAGCTGACAGAGATTGCGTAATCTGATTGGAATGGAGAGGTTACACTATGAGGTTGGGGAGATTGAACAGTGAACCCGTCTTGAAATTGTCATCTGCGCAGCCCAAGATTGTGCAGTGGGAGACATAGCCTTGCCTAGCATTGCTTGGATAAACTTTGCTTTGGTCCACTTGTTGAAGTCTGATATCTAAGAAACACGTTCGCCAACCTTATAGAGATACAACATGTTTAACAATTTTAAGGGGACATCATGTTTTATAGCGATATGGTTACATATCAACTGGAGATGGAGAATCATTTCTCTGTAGTGCATCACAGAGCGAGTTGGCAAAGTAACATGCGGATTGTTATAGTGATGTCATGTGGTGGGACGGAGAGTGCCATGTAGACTTCCGTTTGGAAGACGTGTGACGAAGTGAGGTTGGACATATGCTAGCAAATTCCAACTAGTTGTGCTTTTCTATAATCTACATAATTTGATGATATTTCTTTATATCCTTTCTTTTTTATGAGAGTTTACTCGTATTGAACTTTCATCTAGTACTTGTGATGAGATTAACCCCTTGATATAACCTTTTCTTTAATGTTGCAGGTGGTCGTGATGATGCAAAGCTTTCAATTCCTGCCACTGTTATTCTTCGATATATGTTCGCTCCTGCAGAAATGAGGGTAATGCTTCTAAACCAGCTCAACCCTCTCCCTCCTAACTAATAAAAAAAAGGGTAAAAAAAAATAATAATAAGAGAAAAAAATGGAGTAATGTGTAAAAGCTGTATAATCTATAAAAAACTTGTATAGCTGGGTTTATTATTATTGGTTCCATTATTTAAATTTTAAATAGATTATGGATTTTTTCCTACGTGACTTTTAGAATGGTTTAAACCATCACTAACAATAATAAACAACCTGTGACGTTCTGTTGGGATATACAAATTTGAATTGAACCAGCTACTTTTTTTTTTTTTTTTTAAATTTTAATGGACAATATTCTCTGTATTTAATAATTTAATTTACTTTTGTTCAATAATAGAGCTCTTCTATTTTAAATATCAATTATTTTAATATAACTAGAAGCACCGTATTACTATTTTTTTCCATTTTCTTTTCTTGTGATGATTATAATCTTCCAAGTCTCTCTTTACTACATTGTTTTGGTTTAATCAGGGACTGCTAACAACATAGCATTTTAAGCTGACATTCTTTTAATGTTTGCAGTCTGATGAGAATCTACGTTCTGAATTAGAAGCAGATGTCCACGAGGAATGCGTAAAACTTGGTCCTGTTGAATCAGTCAAGGTATGTTTACTTCTTTCTGTACAATTAAGTTTTCTCAATTCTCTCTCCCCTTTTTTTTTTGGTGAAAGTGATGATAAGGACCCGGTTCCGGGGCTTTGACAATGAGTTGCGCAAGGCCCATGATCTAGACCTAGAGGGGGTGAATAGGTCTTCTAGGATTAAAAAATAATAATAATAAAAATCGATTTTAACAATTTTTTGTAATTTAAAAAAAAACAGAAATTCAAATCAATTCATAGCGGATAATAAAAATCTGTCAATTCATGTGAGTCATAAGCAGATAAAACTTAAAACAATGGACACAGATTTTTACTTGGAACAAGGGGAAAAACTATGGGAGTAACAGGACCTACTATAGGAAAACCAAAATCCGCTATGTGAGAAAGAGAGAACAACCTAAATTAACAGATTCTACCCCAAGAATTCCCTATTTAGCTCGTGACATGGACAAACGCCAAACCTTCTTCCAAAAGTCTCCAATCATCTGTATGCTCGTCAACAGTATCCTCTCCTTATGAATTTGCTTCTCTAGTGATTTTGGTCTACTAGAATGATGAATGAAAAAAGAAATATAAAGATGCACCTCTATAGCTCACAAATAAGCTCATATATTTCTGCATCTCTTATTCTGCTGTAGTAGCATATATATATATATATATATGCATATAGACAACATAGAAGTACAGAGAGAATATGCTAGGTAGAGTTTACAACAACTTGGAAACTAATTTTTTGACTAGCTAGATCAATTGAAATTACCGTCAATGATCGACGATACTCTGGAAGCCCTTGATTGATCGAAGTTTGTTGCAGTGTAAACTTGGAAAAAAAATGCAAATACGAACATCCTGAACATCCTAAAAACACTTATGATGCAAGTTTAGAAAAATTTAAGGAATCAAATAAGATCAGTGTCATGAAAACTTAAGACCTAAATATGCATGCATGAATCTTAATTTGCTGAGTGTTTCACTGTGTTAATTTACCTTTATACCCTTGTAAACGAAGATTACGTAAGTAGCTTGCAATTTCCTTCGTCGACTTTGGGAGGTAACAACTAATACTAACTAACTTTTGGAAACTTCTAACCTAAGCTAGAAATTAAAACAAAAGTTAAAACTCCAGTCTTACCTATGTCCTATCAAACGAACAGAAAGAAATAATTGTTACCTCTCCTAGCACCCTCAATTAATGGGGATCACACTAAATAATGACGCTTATCTGTCTTCATGCTATTTTTTAATTTATAGGCCTCTGTGTTTCCTTTCTTTCAGAGTCTCGTGTAAATTTACATCTTTTGACATTACTGGTTTGATATAGATGCTATCAGATGCAATGGCTTCTTTTTCATTATTTACTCTTCTATCTCAAGTATTTAATGTTCATTTAAGTTTATCTTTATGCTATATGATGAATGTTTAGATTTCATGACTGATTTTTCTTTTCTGGGAATTTATTTATTTCATGTACATTAAAGCTTTAACGAGCATTATATGTTTAAATGGCTATTTCTTATGTTCAGATGTGGTTCTGTTTGCAGGTTTATGAGAATCATCCTCAGGGTGTTGTTTTGGTAAGATTTAAGGATAGAAGAGATGCCCAGAAGTGCATAGATATGATGAATGGATGATGGTAATTGTTCTGATCCTTGAGGTTTTTGTAATAAATTCTTTAATTTGAGAGAGGACAGAGCTATCATAATGACTAATCCACAATTAGTTGGACTTCAAACATCAAATCATCAAGCTGTCGTAGCACGAAGTGTTGTCATGACACCTGATAGGATTGGAGTTAGGGGGTCAGTTCTTACCATTGGCCTAAAAACAACAATATATCATACTTTGGAACTACATCGACATTTACACATATGAGTTGACCATCTACCTATGTTAGTTGGCCTTGTGAATGCATCTGCATTTTTTAAGTTGTGTCGAGAAATTATGAGGTGTGATACTGTTTCCAGAGTCCTTACTTTGGAATAGTGGTGGTTATGTTTCCTCGTGGGCATGGTCGCATGTACTAAGTTGTGTTTGTTCACTCTTTTGGTTTCCCAAGTAACCATCGGTCATTACAACATTACAACTTAAGAAATTCTGAATTACGTCCTGCTTACCTGCATGTCGATCTCTAAGGAGGAAAATATTTTAAATTTTTGCTGATTGCATTTCAGAAAGGATGAACATGGATCTTACTTATTGCCTTTTGTAATACATATAGAACTTATGGCAACTTCAATATAATCTTAGGATTTCTTCTGATTATTATGTTACCGAAGTTGCAGGAGCTTTTGTAATCCTAGGAAATTCTAGGTTTTTTGGGTTTCCTTTTCTTCTTTTTCTTTATTATTATTTTTATTTTATTTTATTTTTTAAACTTGGGTTTCTTTTTGTTTTGACAAAAACTTATATTTTAACAGAGAATATTCCTATATAGGTGTTTCAATGACATAACTAATCCTGACTTCCTGAGTAGTTAGGATTTGAGGGTTGATTGAGATGAGAAGTCATTTCTGGGTGGTTTGGGTGTTGAAAACAGATCAACATTTTCTAATGGGTGTTGCAAACCTAAGTTAATCTAATTGACCTGATATACTTTTGGCTTTTTCTTATTTCCTTTTTTTCTTCTCTTATCTGGTTGTGATTTCTGCATGCCATTTAGGTTTGGTGGTTGGCAGATCCACGCGAGTGAGGATGATGGAATTGTTAACCATGCTAAGGTGCGGGATTCGCAAGATGATGCTGAAAGATTGGAGAAGTTTGGAGCCGAACTCGAAGAAGATTGAGTTGAATTCTGCATTTGAACTTGAAGCATCTTTCACTGACATTGATCACCCGTATAATCCAAATATGAGGAGCTTGTAGATGACTGAACCTGTCACGTTTACATAAACATATTTTACTCATGAAGACATTTAATACCCAAATTTTGAAATATTTATTTCTTTCCCCAAATCTTGCATGTAGTACAGGTTATAATGTGATATGGTGATTTTACATGCATACTGATTTTAGATGATAGTCTCCAGTAACCAGACCCTTGAAAAAGCAATTCAGTTCTCTCTATTCCCAAATTGATAAATGTAATCGGTCCTTGACGGAGATTTCTCCATGGTTAAATTTTGAGTATCAAAGTTTATCCTTTTTACCAAAGGGCCTCTAGTATAGTCCAATGGTATAACAACTATACTGCTCCATCTTCAAAGAGGAAGGGGAAGGGGAGGGGGAAGGGGGAGGTTGGAGCCCAGGAGTAAGTAAAGTGTGTTTGTGTTTGCTAAACCAAAAATAAAAAAATCTTTTTGAACTCTCAATTTATTGGAAAATTCCTAGGTATGGTGATAAATAATGAAAATTTGACTCAAGTTGGTAAGAGAGAAATATAACACTTGGGTTGTGGATAAGAGAGAGAGAACTGAATCGATTGATGTTTGGTTGACAAGCTAAATAAAGGGCAGGAGGGTAATTCTACTTTGAAGGTGAAAAGGGAGCTTTTGGAAGAGATGTTAACTTTTGAATACTGTTCTTTATTATTATTTTTGTTACTTTTATTTTTATTTTTATACTGATTTCCGCTTTTAAAATTCGTGGTCATGATTCATCCAAGAACACCCTGCAGGCCTCCTACAAGACATTTATAACCCCAAGATGTGGTTTGATAATGCAAATATTTGCCAAGTTTTCTTTTTTTTTGAAAGGTCAAATATTTGCCAAGTTAGAGCACAAATTGAAGGGTATAAAAGACTTTAGCCTGCAGTTTTACTACCTGAACCCTTCTTGAAAGGATCAAGTTCTTCGGGGACGCACAAGTTCTAAAAGTTACACACACTAAACACAACAGGGCAGATTTTTATAACAAACGGGAGTCACCTAATTGTCACGGGCTTAGAGTTTCAGCACCACTCTAGCTGTTCCCGTGCAGCACCAAGACGTTGCTTCCACTCGCAAGTACTTGGTCAGCCTAACTCCCGTGCACACCTTAGCCAATACACTCCCCTCGTGCGCTTACTAGTGTTGTAGTAGCCCTCGCCCTCTCCTCATTTGGCTTGCACACTCACATACACTAAGGCACTTAAGTTGGTAAGGAAAGAACATTTCTATTACTTCAAAGAATGCTTTATACAAGGCTAGCACTCAAACTCTCTACAAGGTTCTCAAAACTCACTCCAGGACTTGTTGCCTACAAAATAAAGTCCTACTCCTATTTATAGGCATCCCCATCCCTAATGGACGGCTATGATGCATTCCAACCAACGTTGGAGATCGATTCTCTAGAATTTTCTCCCACCTTCTTCACACTTCCATACTTATCCACAAGTATCTACAACATTTTAGAATTCTCCATACTACTCCACACAATTCTGGAGAACTCTAGAATATACTACACATAACTAGAATCTTCCAAAAACACTAGACAACTCCGGAAGACTCTAGAAACTCTATTCGCCATGCAGTTGTCATGCAGCGTCCTCCTCAGCGTCTGCGTGTTGCCTGCATGGCACAACCTCCATAGGCGGGGTGTGACATAATGCTCAGTTGATGATTTCAACTGCACCATTGCAATGGCTAGTGGAGGGAAAGTATTGTATTGCAACTTTTCATAAAACTATGAGGTAGTTATATGTTACATTCACAATATATATACGGTAGGACTGTAGGAGTGGCTTCTTGCACTTAATCCCAGCTAAAATCATAAAATGATAGGAACTGCTCCCTCTTGAAACCGAGATTTCCGTACTAAATGGAATATCTATCGTTTCAAGTTTCAACCAATGGGACATTTATCTCTCTCCAAGGGAAGGTTGAGTGTTTAAGCCCCCGCAGGGGCAAATATTGTAAATTTGCGTGCCTTTGCTTGAACTTCAGGGAGGGGAAAAAAATAAAGAATAAAATAAAATTCCATTGCTTCATTCCCTTCTCTTCCCTTCCTCCAAACACTTTTTCCATCCTATCACATGGACCGTTAAAGGAACTTAATTCCTTACAAGCATGCTCCCTGAATTACAAACCTGAATCAGTGTTTTGAACTAGTAAACCGAAAATGGGCATAATCACCTTTCTTCCATACAGATTGCGACGAAACCACCTGTATCAATTTATGCAAAGGTAAGAAACCTTCACTCTTCCTATGTAGAGACCAATATTAGACAAGGGCACTAATGTCCAGTTGTATCAGACCTAACCACTAACCAGTATGGCAGTTTTTCGGACACTTGACCGAATCAACTAACATTTGCGATACCCCAAACATCCATATTCGCAATATGTAAAACTAGAGCATGTTGGTGGGAAGAAAATAAGAGCGAGCACCCATGCATTGTGCATTCTTCAATGCACTGACCCAAGAAATATATATCCTGGTGAGATTGCTGTCATCGAGTAACAGATGAACTCAGAAACAATTGGAAATGCACAAGGTATACAAAGATTAATTTTATTTTATAACATAATAAAAACAATTAGTTCCTCACAGTTATTCACAACAAATAACGAATAAAAGAAAGCCGCAAGGTGGTGTATAACTCAAGTTATTAAGATGCATCATATAAAAACAGCGCAGCCAACTCTGTGTTCTTCCACATCAAGAAGTCTTTATAAATTAAATTTGGTAGAGCACTCTTCCATAAATTATAACTATACTTGCAAAAAGCTAGCATACTTGGCACCTAGGAAAAGCCTCTGGATACAGAGTAAGGCATTTTTTGTAACCTCAGCATCCTGGTGGTCCATCAGTTCCATTACCCGGTCCTTGGCTTTCAGGTCCGTCACTATGACCCGTCCAGCAGGATGGTGCTGAATAAACTGAGAGAGATCAAAACAAGCAACGGCTAGTGCTCTTGGATTATTTGATGTGTCCAATATCGTAATGAGGACACGGAGGACCTGTGGCAGCATATTGTATATTAGTTTTGCCCAAGTCATAAACCTGTCAAGAAGACTGACCTAAGAAAACATTTTATTTTCTTTAAGAGGAGAAACAGATATTTGTTACAAATAAAAAAATAATGCACAAGAAGGGTGAGAACATAATGTGTTCAAAGTTCCAATTTAAGGGCGTTAATCCAATGAATGTTACAAAACCATTAGATGATCCATATCTCTAGAATATTTGGTTATCTTGAAGAAGACCAACAAGCGCGCGCGCACAGTTTTTAAAGCTTTGGGATGGCGGATTCTTCAACATTTGGGCTTTATATCTCGTCATCTCCAAATCTCCCAGTTAGTCTTTTCTCCTTCTCAATCTCCATATATATATTTACATATATAAATGCGCACCCGTGCACTAAATCTCAAGGGAGTCTTGAATTTCTTTTAATATTTTTGGTTTGTGCAGTTGTTGATTTTCATTTACCATTTGCAGTTAGTACCTCACCCTTGCTGAAGTCCTCCTTTCAACTGCAACCAATTCCCTTTTAGATCTTTCAGTCGAATGGAATGGTTGTCTTCTCATTATCTAATTATAGAGTACAGTAAAGCATAATAAATATGTATGTTCATAATTACTAATTAGTCAGTAATAATTACTATATACATAATAAATTAGTGTATGTTACATAATAATTACCATACATAATAAATTAGTATATGTGAACTGAGAGAGAGAGACCGCATTGTTGGTGTGAAATCGAACAGAGAGAGAAGAACGAAGATGGGTTGTAATGCTCAAAGATTAGGGTTTGCAAGTTCTTGCGATTGCGAGATGCTGCGATGAAGGTGAACTGTTGCAAACTGAGATTAAGTCAAACTGTCGCAAACTGAGATGAAGTAGAGAACTGATGCGAAATGCGATTAGGGTTTACAAGTTTGTGATGCAAACTGAGATGAAGCAGGAAACAAAGATGCAATACAAGTATGCGATGCGAGAATAGGTCTCTTGGCTTGAGATCGATTTGAATTTCAGCCCTGCTTTGATACCAGTAAGTTTATTTGTAAATCCTAACTAAAAGAGTTAAAGTTACCCCTAACAAATATTGAAAACTACATAAAATACAACTCTCTAACCGCTTATGATACAAAAACAAATCTTGTTGCAAAAATTAAAAGCAACAGAAGGATCCCTTAAAGTTAGATTTTATACCCACACAATACTCGGTTTTCTAGAGATGAACATTTGAAAGAAAACATTGATATCTTGAGGCTGTTGGACTTCTCCTATTACTAGGAATATACATAAATTATTCTAAATGCATGAATTACACATGCCCAATACAAAGCACTTGGGTACGGGCATATAGGGCACATGTTTGATATGTTTTGTTGGATATGAACAATTTAAATTCATGTATATTATATATTTGTACATAGAACTCTCTTTCTATATTCCTTCCTTGTGATTTTGCTTCTAAACGAATCAAGTGTCCATGTTAACACCTTTTTAATGTACACCAGAAAATTTAAATAAATAAAAAATTGTCTCAACACATACCAAGTGCATACTCTATTCCATATAAAGATTCAATTGCATGGCCAATATACGATTAATACTCATGCCTTGAAATATTTTGAAATTACTGAAATACCTTTGGCTTGTAAAGTACAAGAAATATAAATAAAATTAACCAGCAGCATACTAACTTAAAAACACATAATATAAATGTAATTAAATTCCGATTGCACGAGGTTTCAAGTATGCTACATATGAAATTCCCAATTTGCCTCTCCTTTTTTTGCATGCTTTACATCACCAACTGCTTTTAACTAGCCTCCTATCCAGCGTCTCACCTCTACTTCCATCAACAATATAATTCTAATTAGAATATTTCCGCAATTACTTCTCTTCAAGTAAGCACCATAAATGCAGAAATCTCATTTTACCAACACAAGATTGACATAAATTGCAGTACACAAGCCCGCATATCCCATTTCATGTAAACTACAATGACAATAATGAATATTGGTATCGTGGCCGGTTGACCACCAGGCTCATCAAAACCAATTAGAAACCAACTCTGTTGCATTAAATTATATGATTAACACAGGCATGCCCAACACCCCACACACACCTACACATACATGCTTAAAGCCCCTTACTATCACTAAAATAACAAATATGTTTCTCCATCTGTAATTATGATTTATTATGTATATAAAATTTAACCTTTCTTTATTATATTCTATTAGTGTCAAGAACTCTTCTATTGAGCATTATGTCAAACTGTTCCACAGCTAAGTAGCATCTTTTATTATTTACAAAAATGATTCGGGTTGACGAGTATAGGTACTACATCATCATCATCCTTGCCTTTGTCCCATATGAATCGGGTCAGCCACATGAATTCTCTCTCTCCAATCTACATGGATGAATATTTCTAAATGCCATGAAAGTTGAAAATTTAATGTACATTCAGCGAAAACAGCAGTTTGAACTTTGAACCGTTTGGCATGCATAATTATAGTGCACTATCAGTAGTACCATTGAGATTCCTTGATAGAGTCTCTTAACCGTAAAGCAGAGAAGAAAAAATTGAACTTTCAACCGTTTGGCATGCATAATTATAGTACACTATCAGTAGTACGATTGAGATTCCTTGATAGAGTCTCTTAACAAATAGATGGCAGAGAATAAAAAATTGAACTTTGAACTGTTTGGCATGCATAATTATAGTACACTATCAGTAGTACGATTGAGATTCCTTGATAGAGTCTCTTAACAAATAGATGGCAGAGAAGAAAACATTGATCGAGTGCAAAAGGGATACCTGGAAATCATGCTCTTCAAAATGCATAATATTATCACGCCAGAATATAGTATCTTTGTGCATTGGTGACCAGTCAAGTTGGCCAAGAAGGACTTCTTGCTTGTACTTATCAAAAGAACTCAATTTCTTAATGTTATCTTTCATTCCTTCTTCCAGATGATTAAGAGCCTCCAGCAGGTCCTAGAGAAAAATGCCAAGATCAATTACAAAACAACAGCAATAAGAAACAAGTATCATAAAGTGTTAAGAGGGTCCACAAAGTTAAGTAAACAGGATGCAAATAATTCTCATTCCTCAGTTTAAGGGGCTATACGAGAATGAGTTCATAGTAAGCATTATGGATACGCTGTGGCCACTTGAAGATTGAAACAGAAACATCTCCAAGAAATTAAACTTTGAACGAAGGCAATAAACAACAAGGTAAAAAGAGCAGTGTTGCATACATCCATCATCTAATCAACATTTATTCACTTTAAGAAAAAAGGGCCATGGCGGGTCGGCAGGTCAAGCAAGGGATAAAAAACCAGGTGGTTTCATCACCCAATTAAAATTATATATATATATTTCATCACCCAATGAATGCCATCAGTAATATCCGGCAAGACGTAACAGAAATCAGTTATTGATACCCGAACTTTTTTATCACTAACCAACCACTAAAAGGAGAGATTCCTTAATCCTTTTAGGATCATGGAAGATAAGAATGTCTCGTTTGTGGATTTTCTCTCTTCCTTAACAAGCTGGGTAGTGTGGAATCTACACACACGTACACACTGATTAGTGGGCAGTGTGGAGTCTAAATTTAGAAGATCCTTTCAAGACTGGGATATCAAGACAACAATGACTTTGCTTGATATGCTTGAGGGTTTCAGAATCAGTGATGAGGCAGAAGACTCGTTCAGATGGAAACTGGTCAAAGGCGTGGTCTTTACTGTTTGGGTGTCTTATGAAGTGTTTTCTTGGAGAATATTGACTTCTTGTGGAGGAGCATATGGCACATGAAGGCCTCACTTAAGTTGGATTCTTTTTCGCTTGGGGAGCGGAATAAGATGCTATCCTCCATCGATAACTTGAAGAGAAGGGGCTTCCTTATGACTAACTGGTTTTCTGTGTATGGAGAGACGGAGAAGAGAGCCAGCCATCTTTTGTTAAATTATAGAGAGGTGAGGGATCCTCAGAGCCTCCTTCTCTCCTTGATCAGGATTTCTTTGACCATAAGAAGGTCAATGATGAACTTGTGACAATAGAGGGGGGTTTTGGCAGAGTCAGGAAGGTGTTGAATGCTGCCCCTTTTTGCCTTATGTGATACATGTGGAGAGAGAGAGAGGGGAATGTGCGTACTTTTGAAGGGGAGGAGCTTACTATGTTAGGTTGAAACAGATTATATTAAGGATTTCAAATCTGGAGGGGGTTTTCCTGAGGCAGAGTAAAGAAGATGCAGCATGCTGATTCCTTTTGCCTAGCGTGAAACATTTGGAAAGAGAGAGAGGAATACAGCGAAGGGGAGGAGCTTACTGTCCTTAGGTTGAAACAAATTATGTTAAGGATTTTGATTTTGAAGTTGTCCTCTGCTATTGTTGATTCTTTCATAAAGTTTTTGGGTGACTTTAATCCATCTTCTTCATTTTTTGTAGCAGTATACCTTGCATGTACATGAGTAATATTCCCAGTGTAGCACCCCTAGTGGATTTGTTCTTTTCTTGTTATAAATATATAAGATACATGCACGGTTTCAGTACTTCGGCCAATTATTTTATTTATTTTTTTAAATAATAATTTTAAAGATTTACCATGACAAAGTTTTCCTTCTCAAGGTACTTTAGGGTTGAAAAAAAAATTCAAGGCTCCCATTTGCCTCGTCTACCAAAATGGGGAAGGTGATAAATGTGGAAATCATTTTTCTGATAGAATGTGTACTAGTAAATTAGTATTCATTGAAATCAAGAATTAATTTTCCATGAACTCCTTTCCGTCTACACAAGCTATTGACTAAATATATGAATATGACAGGCCAAATTAAGAAAACACGAAATTAAAAGTTTTCTCACCTCATCACTCCATGCATGTGCTTTTAAATTCTGGACAATTTGCGCAAGTCCAACGTCTACCATCTGAGCTCCGAAAGTCCCTCTATAAAGCAAGTTTCTAAGGGTCAAGACAACCACCCTGACAACCTAGCAGTCATTGATGCATCAAATGTCTCAAATTTCCAGATAAATAAACAAGTATTTTCAATATATGCTGATAACAATAAACTAGTTCCTAAGAAATGTTGACATGGACAAAATCTTCCCTGCAGTGCAAGGATAGAATGCATGCCATGTACATTTAGGTTGACAGACTCAGAAGAATAGGAACGAGAGTAGAAGAGGCCAATCTATGAAATAAAAATAATAAGCAACAACTGTATTGATATAAAAACCTTGCAATAGAAACTTATAGCAAAGTATATGACTACTAAAGCAGGCAGTCATTAGGGAAAAAATGGTACGAGAATGAAAGGCGAATAACTCACCTTCTCCTTTGTCGAACTCTTGACAACCTCAATTAATTGCGGTAGAGTTTTAGAGGTAGCCAAGTATTCAATCGCAGGCTCATAATAAGACAGAAGCCAAACACAGAGACATGTTTCGTAAAGGAGCTGCACCAAGAGGGCAAAGTTCAGAATCATCAAATCTGAATTGTGTAATCTTAACTAAAAGGAAATATGAAATATTTAGTAATCAGTCCCAGAACTCGAAAGCTTGAATCATTTACAGATGAGAAAAACCTGACTCAACCTGCCCATTCGTAAGATTGAAATGTGCTATCTTCAGCATAGATGGTTTGTTTATTACAGTAGCCATCAAGAAAAGACAAGAGTTACCTGGATGGACTGCTGGGTGGATGCTGGAGAAATTAGAGGTTCGAGCAGCTTCACCCCATCTCCTTGGACAAATGAGGATCTGACTACAGGCTCCTTCAATAGAGTTGCCAGGCAATTGACAGCAGTTGGGATACCATGACTAGGATGGGAAGGCTTCTTGAGCTGCACAAGTAATCAGGCATCAGAATCATGACTAGTATCATGGAAAATTATTCCTTACAACTGATTAAATTCACATCTGAATGAAAATGATTGAAGTTCATGACAAGGAGAGTAAAACTCAACTTCAAACCACTCTAATATATAAACATTTCAAGACCTAACTATCTAATAAAAAGATAGTTTAGATATACTATGCTTAACAACTAATAATTTCATATATGAGGTCAACCACATTTTTAGTTTTAGGTTTAATGATGGGAGATTGAGTAATTCTTCTCTTAAGATAGAAAATAGGGTAGGAAACCAAGAGGATTCAACACATGCCAACATTTTATATTTTTTTTGGGTAGGTCAATACATGTCCATATTTTCTTTGTAAATTTTTTTTTTTCTGGTGGGGGGTGGAAGGGGGCAAGCATGTTCCTGAAGAGGGGACCATACCGGTGTCGGACACTCCTTAGCGGTGTCCTCTTTTTTTTAAAAAAATATGTTTAACATGTCAGGACACCGGAGGACACGTCCGTACACCGCTGGATAAGCTGGAGGACACACTGCAGAACTTTTCTTTGTTAAATATAGAGGAAGAAGATGAAGGAGCCAGACCAGATGGAGCCACTGTGTAGATGATGGGTATGTGGGTACGTATATGCGTATATCCATTCAAGAGAAACAAATGGATGAGATAAAGAGAGACAAAAGAGATGGAGGGATGAGAGGATCGGCTGGAAGAGAGGATCAGAGAGCCATGTATGAAAACTGAAAAAGTGAGTGGAAGAGAGAGGGATCAATCAATCTTATCTTCTTTCAGGGCTTGTTTGGCCACAAGTATAGTGTTTTTACCACATGCCAGTGGCCTAGCGGTACCAGGCTCCTACTTCCCAAAGGGAGGTGTGGGGTTTGAGCCTTGGTGGAGACATGTGTGTGTGAGTACCAATTAAGAAAGAGAAAAAAACAAGTATAGTGTTTTGTTTGGATATAAAGAGATACATATACATATATATATATATATATATATATATATATATATATATATATTTGTATTTTAATGAAATTTGGGAATTGGACCTTTATGTTTTTAAAAAGAAATATGGGCTATGTGTGGGCCTAATTTAAATGCATTATGTTTATTAATATAAATTAAAATTTGAGCAAAAGTTATTTTATATATATATAATAATAAATTATATTATATATTTGTATTTTAATGAAATTTGGGAATTGGACCTATATGTCTTTAAAAAGAAATATGGGCTATGTGTGGGCCTAGTTTAAATGCACTATGATTATTAATATAAATTAAAATTTGAGCAAAAGTTATTTTTTTATATATATAATAATAAATTATATTACTATTTTATTGCCGTGTTCATGTCCTATTTTTTTGAAATTTTCGGTATCGCCGTGTCTGTGTAGTGTCGTACCTGTGTCCGTGTCCGTGCTTCATAGTAACAATCATGCCGTAAATTTATATTCACATTTAAAGCAGCATATAGTGCAATGCTGTTTACAAACCTGCGCGCAAAGCCATTCTACCAGACCTTTCAGAACATCATCAATTGTAATGGATTTCTTCTTTGAACTTGAGGTTTCTCCATTTCCAGTGACACAATCCTGGACTTTTGTCCTAGCACTGTAATAACAAAAAAATAGCGTGGTTGCAAAGTTTAAATCACACAAATACATTCTGTTTTCCCTAAGACTTGAGCTATAATGTGAAACGATCATGATTTAATTACTTTACTATCAGAGAGAGTATACATTCCTTTTCTCTCTTGGGATTTGAACCATATTGTGAAACAATCATGATTTAATTACCTTACTATCAGAGAAAGTATCTTACAGCTCTTTGCTTGTATGAACCAGTTACCTTTCCAGAGTAATCTGAAAATGGAAAAGGATTGTCAAACATGTAAGGTTTCTTTGATTGGGTGAACATAAGAAAACTGTTTCATTCCAATTAATAATCTCATTGCCAAATTTCATGAATTGGTGAGTATGAGAAAACTAGTTCAATCCAATTAATAACTTCATCGCCAATGTTTAAAATCCAATTGAAAATAACACTGATTTTCATTTACCAAAAGAACTTAAATGTATTTCGGAAGGAAAAAGAACATCAAATGAGATGAAAAAGATAACTTAAGAGGAAGAAACTGATAGAATTCCACGAAAATTGCACTTTAGCCATAAGTCACAACAATGGTTTTCAGATGTCATGTATGCAAACTTCTATTGACTGTTTAACACAACTAACCAGATGTTGCCTCACAAATGAATACATTTTTCCACCAGGAAATAGTCAAGACTTTTCCATCGTTGATTAACAATTAGTACTTCTACGCAAAAGACGTTAAAAATAACCAGATGGTTTCGATCGAGTAGATTTGTTTATATTAGTGTAATTGGAAATACATGTAGATGACGACCACATGTGCCTCTTAGGTGCACAAATCATGCTTCAGAATCAAGAATGTCACAGAAACACACTTCAAAATCACATTATTTACGTGTAATGTTTCTATATCGAAAACAAAGCATTATGAAGTTTTTGCTTCCGAAAATCTGCAATCATACTTTCTGTATGTTAGATCCATGCTTCTACGATATTGGGTGCTCTTTATTTTACCAAAATGACAACTGTTATCAAAATAAATTAACGGGACAGGCAGTAAGCACTAGAACAGCTAACAGTAATCAAAGGTTTAGAAGATACTAAAATTTTAAATTATTGCTGGCATAAAATGGACCACGTTCTGTATTAACTCTTCATTTCTAGCTCCTCAACATTTCTTAGGAACACATCTTGTACAATTTCTTCATGTTCTTATAACACTGCCTCATAATTTTCTACATCACAAAGAACACCGACACAAACCCAACAAACCTCTTTATGTGATGCAACAGAGAATCAATTGCTATCTATTTGTTGCATTAAGAGCAAAACTACAACTCCAACGAATATTCAGCAAATAAATACCAAAAAGTTAATTACTGCAGCACAATTTAGTCAGTACCCCAATAATTGTTATAAAAAAATAAAAAATAAAAAGAATAGGAAAAGAAAAGAAGTCTGTCAGGACTCAGATAAGTGAGGCTCCAGAATTTGAGAAACGCAAGAATTACTTGTTAATCCCTTTTCTTCCAAATAAGATGGGATAAACAATTACAACTGAACCAACAAATTTAGAATGCAGCCCTTCATGCTTTCAAAAACTCTACATGTGTTCTTTACACAGCCGGTCCCAAGCCCAGATAAAGGAGGAGGGTCAGGTAGCTTGACAGCCGGCGTAAAACTTGTCATGACTAATATGAACACGAATCCCTTCATGCTCTCAAAACCCTTTTATTATTTGACCATTACAACGCTTAAAAAGTCATATGACTCGTAAAAAAGACAGGACACAGTCTATAAAGCTATTATAAACAAAAGCAAGCATAGAGATTAAACTGAAGGCTGAAACTCCACAATAAACAATGGGGGCAAGCTAAGCCATCCAGTGGGTACACATGGTCTTGAAATGCCATACCACAAAGGTATACAATGCATGTTCATTTAAATCTCAGTGTTCCTTCTAAATTTTTGTCAGAAAAGATGGGAACATAAAGAATCTAGACAAATCATACTGCCTTTTCTAAGGTTTATCCTTCTGTTGTGTGTTCAATTTAAGCCTCAATTAAATCTAAACAAAAGAAGGTGAAATTTCATCAAAATAACGAATATAAAAAAATCTCACTCTATCAAATTCCATAATGATTGGAAGAAATGAATGGTTCAAACATGAAAACAAATGGAAAAATTCATTCAAAATTTAAAAGAGAATTATTACTTATGGAAGATTCAGTACCAATTGGAGGAACTCAAATCAAGAAAGAAAATGCATTCAAGAAAAGGAGGAAGATGGAAAATAAGGTAGAACGTAGCAAAATAATTTGACAGAAAGGATAAAGGATTGTGGTATTGCAACGTGTTAATATTATCCCAAGCATCCACTGAATAGAAGCTTCTTTATTTAGATTTGCGTCACGCATCAGTTCCTCAGGAGAGAGAGAAAAAGACAAACTATCAAAAGAACATCACATGTAGTCCCATCCAGATACAACAATCTTAAGTTCAGAGATTTTTAAAGAGTAATTACCTTAGGAAAGGACCATACATATCTTCGTTTGCAAGAGATTTGTCATGGAATAATCGAGCTCTTTGCGGGTTTGCTGTCAAGGAAAAGGAACAATAGGTCAGCTATTCAACTTATATACGTGGTCCAAAGGATGAAGTATTTACCAATTACCTGAAAGCATTTCATCAATTAAGGCTAGAACATATTCTACCGTTTCTTCCTTGAATATGTCATGTAAAATGCTAACAAACACACAAACGTAAGCCGGACCATCCTGTCACAGTTGCTTCCATTTGTCAATATCAGAGGAAGTTTTATCGAGCATATTTTATTTTTTCAAATTCAGTTACAAATTCACAACTATATCTTAATTATACATTTAAAGTAGCCATCTAAAGCACCACTAATGATGAATGGCATGAGACCTTAAAGTTTTATGACTAAAGAATGAAAGCTAGTGTGAAGGATAAAATAGACCAGTGACCAATATAATATGAAAGGAAAATTGGACTAGAACTAGAACCACCCAGATTAATCACCCTATCGTAAAAATAAATATATAAATATGTAAGTGCTGAAGGAGGATTTCCCATCTCAACCTACAATCTCTATACTTGGGATAAACAACAGAAAAGTTTTAACAAATAATAAGCCAAATTGTGTGAAATGCATATTGCATCAAAGGTTGTTGAATTAGTGAGAAATTAATCAAACCAGTAGTTGATTTATTTCTTTGGATAATTAAAAATAAAATTTTATACTACCAACATAGTTGTGCATACACCAAGTGATTGAGTTGATAACCCAGTATATTTTGCCAACAGAGGTTGAAAAAATTATCATAATTGATGTGTCAAATTGTCGATGGACATAATCAACTAATGATCACACTTGAAGTGTCAAAAATCAGCAAGCAGCATCTGGGTACAGAATGGACAAAAAGGGATCCATAGGTTGTAAACCAAAAATGAATTTACATGGTAAATGAATGAAATCGAATTTTTACCATTCTAGTCAGTGGAAAATGAATGAAATCTACCAATGGGCATTAACCCAGATGGTACGATCTCTCTTCCCCAAAGGGAAGGCTGAGAGTTTGAGCCCTGCTAAGGGCAATAGTGTGGGTGTGTGTGTGTTTACCTAAACGTTCGGGAAAAATAAGAACATAAAAAAAATGAATGAAATCTGATATATAAAAGTATCTTAAGATGAACTATATATTCAAATCCTTATGAGTAACATCCCAAAAATTTTACTTATCCAAAAAAAAAAGAAAAAGAAAAAAAAAAGAGTAACATCCCAAAAATTATTCTGAGATTCTGTCATAAGCAAAGCAAGGTATCCTACAACATGTTGTTAATGTGCTTGTGACATTTAGAAAATATGGAGTTTTATTATGCATTTCCCGCTTAAACGCGAAAAAAAAAAAAAAAAAAAGGTGAAATACACATGAGATGGAAAATCTTCAAGTTCCAATAAGATACATCATTTCAAGAACATAGGGGCATTAGTGAACTGCATAATAAGAGAAGGATACCATAAGACCTGAATCTGATTAAGGTAGATAACAAGTACGTCTCAGAGCAAGCATTGAGAGTGACATAATATTACCTCATCCAGCAGCGTTGCTCTGTAACTTTCAGCTCTGTTATCATAACGCCTTAACAGCTGAAGGCCTGTTCCTGAGATCAGCTTAGTTGTCATGTACGTCTCCCATGGGATATCCCTCTTCAGAACCTTGAACATAGAAGAGTAATATTTACATAATGTTCTTTAAATAACTATATTGCTACTAGTCTAACAAATTTAACTGTACAAACCCAAATTATTTAGTCCAACCTAGAGGTATAGTGATCAACATTAAAAATTAAGGAAATCTTTTCACTGTGAAATACGATAAGTGGAACGAGCCGAACTGAGTATGGAGTACCCATGTTATCCTACAAACCAAATAATGAGTAAGTGTCGGGAATTCAGTTGCTAGCTTTCAAATATCTCGAGCAAGTTCTCCAAGGGCATGTCACATACTTAGTAACGGTATCTAAGGCCATATCTAAGCCTGAAGTGACAGAAGCATGGAGCAAGATCGAGAGCGAGAGCAGGAAATAGGGAGATCAATTTTTAAATTGTGGTCGAGTTTTGAGCACCTCAAAAGCAACTTAAAATGTGGATTCCATCAGGATTTTACCCCGAGGAATGAATGAACATATTCATGATACAATAGAATGTACAGAGCATACTTTCTTTCCACAGTCTTCTTTACACAGAACATTTGTTATGGAACATAATTTTTCGCACTAATTTATAACTGAAGACATGATAAAAACCATAAGAATTCAACTGCATCCCTGTGTATTAAAATTTGAGATTACAAAAATACATCACACAAACACATAGCTACAACTGGAACTTGACACAAGAATATTCTCCTTCAGAGAAAGAAGTTCATTCTGTTAGAAGCAATGGGCCATAATGGGATTTTCAAAGGATAAACCAGGAGGTAGTTCACTGATCTATGCTTCATTTCTGCATCCTTGTATAATTTTGGCAGATCAAAAGGCTTCGCTAGGTAATAATAGGATTCAACTGAGGAAGTTCATCATGAATCTTTCTCTGAAGGTAGAAAGAATATGGACCATTGAGAAAGCCACAGCATTCTTTGACTCTCTGATGAATATGAGAGAAATTGTATATCTTTAGATGAGATTGTGGACTTTTTGGGTTCTTTGGGTCCATAGGGTTGTATTTTGGTTTGGTTCCTTGTATATCTCTTGGGATGCGTTCCCCTTTTGAACGCTTTCTAATACATTTTATTTATCAAAAAAAAAAAAAAAATGAATATGAGAGATGTGTTCACAGACGGAGCATTTGGAATGCAGTGGTTCCATCAAAAACGGCATTTTAACTCGACAGCAGCCTTAGATCAGAACTTGACAATTTCCCCATATTAGATTATGGAATGGAGTTGTCTGTAATAGGCACATTCTCATTCTTGTAGATCTGCAAGAAGTGTTAACCAGCTCCCCTTATAACCCAATTCCACTCCCACTAGGTTTTGGATTTCCAGGCATAAAATTTTTTACTTATGGTTTTAAATTCCATAAACTTTCAAATTGATGTTTTGGTTTAAAACACCTGTGTCACACAAGTTGAAACTGATTCGTAAGTGATTAGTGTTTTCATTCAAAGCCAAAGTTAAAAGCATCTTCAGTTGATCCCCATAAAAAATGATACATCACATCATGATACTAAAACCACTGTGATAGTTGACCTAATTGAAAAGAAATAAAATTATAATAACATGAACGGGGATAAACAGCCATCATTGTGAGTACACACCCATGAGAAAGGTTAATGACCAACTTGAATGAGTTTCTCTCTCTCTCTGTTTTCTTTTAAGTAAAACCTACTTAGTATAATGTTGTTAGCAAACATGAACTTTTAATAGACTATTGATCATGGGATCTTTAGACGGGAGCCACGTACCCAATTTACATAAATTATGCCCTTTGGAAAAATAATAAAAGGAGTGAAAGGCTTATGCCCCAAAGAGAGGGTGAAGGAAAAGATAAAGAGGCTTCACCTTGAAAGGAATAGTCTCTCTCCTTTCTTCTTCTACATTTATAGAATAATGAAAAACATGTATAAATTTGATTTGGAAACCTTTTCCAACTCATAAAACGAGTAGAAAAAGGCTTTCATGAAGTTTGATTTACATTAGGACATGACTTGGAAATCAGAAATTCCTATTTTTCGTAATAGACTAAAAGTATACTACTCCAGCTCAAAAGTATGCCGGATCAGATGTTTTTGTTTCGGAATGTTTCAAAACTGAAGACAGAATGTACTGGTATAGGCTTCAAGTGCACCATGCACAAGTTTCTGGAATAAAATTTTGGCAACTTGTAAAGGTGTATCGAACAGATTCTGTGGAATGATAGTGTATCAGTGCACACGTCCCTGTCTTGCTTAAAAGGCCAAAAAAAAAAAAAACTTTCAATCAAAATTAAGATTTTCAAAAAATAAAATAAAATAAGTGTCCTCACAAGACTCTTGTGCCTTTGTCTTTGTGTATAGCTGATCATTCATGAGAGCATCGCCTTTTTGCTTGTTGAACTAGAACCTTAAACCTTTGCTTGAACACGAATCAATTAAATAAAAAAAGTACAACTTGAGATGGTTTTGTAAAACAAAAGTTTCCAGTACATGACACTTTGACTTTACACATAAGGCATAAAATTAATAACTTTATGTCTAGAACATAAACTCCATACATTAGCCACATAAAAGTACATTGGTTATGTCCTGAATGAACAGTAAAAGGGATAAAAACACATCTCTATTTTTAATTCAATGTATTTAACTTTTCAATGAAGTCTGAAATTCTAGTTCACATTCCAGGTACCCCAATATCGTATATCCTTTTTAGCATGATATTTAAGCAGTTCTCACTCTTTCTGACTATACGAGAAGTACTACTTAAGAACATCTAGTGGCAGGATAAAGTTGAGGTGATCAGGGCACATTGCAGCACATGAGCTCCCATATCCATACACTTGACTCATAAGTTAATCTTACAAAACAATGCGAGAGGTTCACAGATTCAGATCATCATTTCTCTCTACATCAGGACTCGCAAAATATTTCAAAGTACATTTCATAATACGAACCCTAACCCTCTTGCTCCGTTACATGAACTCTCCTACATGAGTTGACACCATGCGACATGGGTATGAGTACAGCATATGTGTCCGACACACGAACCCAAATCAGACACGCCAAATCCTCGACACGACATGATTGAAGAAGGAAAAAAAAAAAAAAAAAAACTCAAATTTAATAGCAAAGATGAATTTGTTATCAATGAGATAGATGGAAACACGTTTCTTTTATCACATCTCATTTAATTCGACTAATAATTGAGTATATTCTCATAAATCAAAAACATTAAACATTAACCGATTAAATAAGTGCACAAAGGTTAAAATTTCCAATGCAACAAAAGCAGATCTAAACCCAAATCACGTGAACACATTACAACACCAAATCAAGTGGCACAACATTAAATTTTGGTCAAGTAAACAAATCCAAAATTAATCAAATAATGTGTATATATATAATACGCATTGAAATTGAGTCACCCATTCAGATTGAAAGTTAATCAATTAGTCATATGTAAACACGTTCTATATATATAAATACATACACACACATGCATCTATATATAAACCTGCTCGGTGGTTAGCTCTGCATGATCCATCGGCATTGAGATAATTGAGAACCTGTAAACGGATTGGGATAGAAACTCTGAGAGAGAGAGAGAGAATTGGGAAACTGAAATGAGGACAGATTTGAGAAAATTGTTAAGAGAGTCACAAAAAGTGTTTGTTAATACGAAATTAAGAACCCAGTTCATACAAACAATAGTACATTCATCAGCATAGAAACAGAGGTACGAAATATAATTTAATTCAGTAATTACAGTGAAAATCAACTGAAAATGGGAAAGAGACATGCCTGTTTGTGAGTGCGCGTGGATGGCAAATAAATCTTGTGCGAGTGCAATTGGCCTAAGACACTGTGACGTGTGCTCTAATTCGGCATAATCCAATGTGGCAGTCCAGCTGGCAATGGACCTAAAAAAAAAGACGACTGTAGCAAAGACGGTTGGGTAAACCCACTTTGATTTTTCTCTACGCCAATACCAATCTCGCTGGTTAGTTCAGTCACCGTTCAGTCACTGGTGCCATTCAGTCGCCAATGGACATTATACCTCCATTAACAACACCCCAAATCAACAAAACAACCCCATCCGCCCACAACCTTCACCACCACCCAAACCACCATCCATCCGCAACCAAACCATACCTGCAAACCAGAATCAAAATCGCAAACCCAAACCTTCATTACCACCCCAATCAACCTAATCATAGAACCCTAAACCCAAAACCCAAAACCTAATTGAAAAACAAAATAAAACAGACAACAACAGTGGACAACCCAAATCCCGGTCTGAAGAACTGAAAACAACCATCGCCGGAATCTCGCCATTACAGTCACTGTTCGACGGCATTTTAGTCCACTTCACCTCCGTTTCGTTCTCCTTCCTCATTGCCTACAGTCACTTCAGTACCATCTGTCTATCGCCGGCATGCAAACGTTCGCCGTCTGCCCGCCATCTTGGTCACCGAGCAGTTCTCTATGCTCCTTTCTTCCTCGCTGTGGTTCCTAGCCTTGATTCGTTTTCAGCCATCCTCGCTACATATCAGGATCAGTCCTCGCCGATCTTTGATTTATTGCCCCCAAACCCAACATCAGAGGGCAAAACGAGCCCCCCCATTGCTTTGAAACACAAAATCTTCATCGCCCTTATTGAGCAGAGAGACGAATACAGGGAGGAAGTTCAGGATTCAGGAACGTGTGCGCCGGTTTGAGCCGGAGTCGGAGTAGGGGAGGACAGACCGGCGTTTTAGGCTCACGTTCTTCCACTGTTGTATGACCTATTTGAAGCCCACGATTTGGGTGATTTTGTTAACCTTGACGGTGGAAGACAATCACTTCACCCGCATCTTCTTGCCGGATTTGTGTGTGGTGAGTGAGATGCTAGAGAGAGAAGGAGATAGAGGAGAGAGGAAGGAAAATGCCAACTAAATTGCCACGAGGTTATCCACGTAGACTCTGTTTAACTAATCGGCCAAATACCTCGGCCAAAATATCATTTCCCTAAATAATAAGCCTAAATACATAAAGCCCCCTTATTATTAATAAAAATTACATATTATCCTCTCAATTATTAAAAAAATCTTCTGAACTAACATAAACGATCACGTTGCCCCTTTTAGATTACAGAACCGTTAAGTAATTGCGAAATGACAAGAATACTCTTGATAGTATATTAATATTTTATTAAAATGAAATTGTGAATTTAAAATGACAATTATGCCCTTAATAGTATATTAATATTTTATTAAAATGAAATTGTGAATTTAAAATGGCAATTATGCTCCCGTGTGAAACGATGTCGTATTGGGGTGTATACCCTCTGTGTAAAACGATGTCGTGTTGGGTGTTTATAATCCCTGTGAAACGATGTCGTATAGGGGTGTATAACCTCCGCGTGAAATGATATCGTGTGGGTTTTATAATCTAATAAAATGATTTTATGCCTTAAATTGTTGTGTCGTGTTTGTGTGTGCGCACTAAGTGTTATGGAGGCGAGTGTTGAGTGTAATCGTTGAAAGCGAGTGTTGTGTGTGTGTCTTGTGTTTGTAATCGGTCAATGGTGGAAGATCTTAATAGATTCTAAGTGATTAGTGTCACTTTTCTTGGACAAAATGGTGTAAGGTATAGACAAACTTTCACCCATTGTCGTTGCTTTGTAGTACTTAGGGTTTTTTATTCTTCCCTTTTCAATGTGGGTCCTTATTGTTAGGTGGGTATGATTTGAGGTAGGCTGTGTCCTTTGTTTGAGAGTATTGATATTAGAGTTTAATGATATTGTAATAAAAATTAAGGTTTGTTGGTTGTGATCCCAATGATCATTAAATTAAGTATTTTTGTTAATAATATATGTTTTTTCATAATTTATTGTTTAAATTAGTTTTTCATAATTTAGAGTTTAGGAATTTATTGTTGAAATTAGTAGTAAATACTATATTTTTTTTTAGTGTAGTGCTTAGGGTTTTATAGTCTTTCCTTTTCAATGAGGGTCCTTATTGTTGGGTGGGTATGATTCGAGGTGAGCTATGTCCTCTGTTTGGGAGTATTGATATTAGGGTTTAATGATATTGTAATAAAAATTATGGTTTGTTTATAGGGTTTTGGTCCCAGTGATCATTATATTAAGTATTTTTTTTTTTTAATAATATATGTTTTTTTATAATTTATTTTTCAAACTAGTTTTTCATAATTTAGGATTTAGGGATTTATTGTTGAAATTAATAGTAAATATTGTATTATTTTTTTGGGAAATACTTGTTTAAAATTATTTTTTGGGTAATTGTGTCAGAATTGTTATTTTTACTTATCTTGTGCTTGCTATTGATTCTGGTTTCGTGGTTTAATGTTATTTGTTTTGTTGAAATTACTTGTTTTAGGTTTTAATCATGCTTTTCAAAAGTTATAGATATTGTTTTTAAAATATATGTAATTATATGATATATCATATGTGAAACATGCATGTCGCTAAAATAAGGAAAATGTATCTATTTTGTTTTTCCTAGCGAATGAAAAGAGTGGGGACACGAACCGCTTGGAAGAGCTGGACGTTCTACCAACTAAGCCATTAGGTAATGCCCAAAAAATGTATCAATTTGAACGAATCGTATAATTATATATTGGGTAAATTACTCTAACACCCCCTGAGGCTCTACCTAATTACTCATAGATGCAAGTTTTTGAAAATTTTAGGTCAACCTCCCCTGAGGTTTTGTTGACTTCACCCTCACCACCCTTAACGTTACATAACTGTTAGATCATTAAAAGTCAATTAATTTTAAAAAAAATACCAAGACTACCCTTATTATTTTATAACTATTTAATATATTTTATACACTTTAATAAGTAGATATACACAGAAACCCTAAATATTCCCCTCCCACTATCGACACCACCAGCTCCTCTCACCACCAACTCCTCCTCCCATCAGGATTCTTTCTTTCTCGTCACTTCCTATGTTCATTGCTCTGATCTCACCATTCACTATCATTAACTCACAATTTTTTTTCAAGATTATGATGAATCTCAGGAGTTATAAGGGAAATAAAATTGTCTTAAAAGTATAATGTTGGATCGGGCGAGGGTGGTGGTTTTATAGGGTTTTGAAAGAGGAGATCGGATCTATGGGCAAGTTTGGGTTGGATTGAAGTTTGATCCAGACTACTATTCTGGAAATTGATTAGAATTTGTTTAGGGTTTCGATTGGAGACGTCTCTGGCAATTGATTCGAATTTATTTAGGGTTTTGATTTGAGATGTAGAGCGTATCATTTAGGGTCTCGATTGGAGACGAAAATGGGTCAATAGTTTCACTGTGTTGAAGATAAAGATGGAGAGGTTTTAATCTCGATTGGAAAAGATATTGATTTTGATGTTACAGGTATATATATGATTACACAAATTTGTGTTGTATTTTTGCGCTGTAAGACATATGGTTTGGTGGTGAAAAGACAGAGGCAGTAGTGGTGAGGGTTGGTTGGGTGGTCTAATCGAGGTGTCACGATGGTGGGTTTTGGTGAGGTGTCATGACTCATGATGGTGGGTTTTGATGAGGTGTCAATGTGATACCCCCAAATTTTTACGTGTAGGTTAGCCAAACCCACACTCGGAGACTCGAGGATATCAAAAACAATTTGGTAATAAACAAACACGAAATACAAGAGAAATAAAAAAGAATAAATAATTTGCTGAAAGAAATTCTATTGATTAAATAAATCATTCCTTACAAAATAAAATCTATAAATTTAAATATCTAAAAAACAACTCGGGAATCCTGTAAGTCAAGGACCCTTAAACCACAAATTACTAATCCATCATTTCATACATAAATAATTAAACTAATATCTAACAATAAATATTAATGCTACTTGGAAGTAAATAGGATGAATAGATGAAAGACAAGTCTCCAAGTTGCGGATCCTCAACCTTGAGACTGTAACTTCTAATAACCTGAAAAATAAAGGGTATGTTAAACCCACAACCAAGTTCACTCTACTAAGACTCTGAAAACCGATAAATAAAAATAAAAATCATCCTAATTAAAGTTTTAACCTTTAATATAAGATTATATATATATATATATATACTACTTGATATTAGTTTGTTCAAATATAAGAATATTTGCTTCGTCCAAATTATAAACACAATATCCATAGATGTATATTTATTCATCTAACTTACATATCAATTTATTTATACTTCGACAAATCATCGATGCCATCATAAGTATATTTTTGTCCATACAAATTAAACGACAATTTGTTTGTGTCTTGGCAACTAATTCATGTTTCCAAAAGTATGTTTTTGTCCATACTATAAATTAGCGAATCTTCCATACTTCCCATGTATGTATTTTATTCATACAATTAATAAGACAGTCTATTTATGCATTTGGCAACTCATTCATGCATCCGAATCAACCACATACCATTAATATAAATTAAAAGCGCAATAAAGCATACAATAAGCAACATAGGCACAATACAAGTATGGACAAATTATATAAAATAGTCCACTAAGATTTCCATCCCAATCACAGCATGTCAACACATGATAGATCTCATAGAATAACTTATTAGTTGTTTAACACATGCTTTCAAACCAATAGCCATGTAAATATACCAAATTTTCCTTTAAATCGATTTATAAATTAATTTAATTATTCCTTTGCCAATCAATTTAGTCATGTTCTAATTATTTACGCGCAATCTAGTATTTAAACAGGTCCATTAAAACCCTAAAACCACCTTAAAACCGTTAGGATTGGATCTGGAACCAACAAGACTCAAATCCAAGTAGCATGGAAAAGAAGTTGGCTTAGTTATTAACTAAGTCGGCTCTTTTTCCAACTAAGTTGGTTCAGTTACTAACTAAGTCGGCTCAGTTAGCCTGGTCGTCTTCTTCCTCAAGACAATAGTTTTTAACCTCTGTAACTCGCCTATTTCGCCTCTGATTTGTGTAAGAACAGTCCTAATTAATTATAGGATGATCTAATACATAATTTCCCATCCATTCAAGTATACAAGCAAGCAAAATCATCACCAACATATTTAAACAAATCATACGCATCCAACATATACATACATATATAAATACAAGGGCGGATCTAGGATTTCTGAATGAGGTGGGCTAATTTTGGATTGGGCTAATATTACTATTTTTTTATTTTATTTTATTTTTTTGGCCTGTGCTAAAAGTAGTATAGTAAAAAAAATAAAAAATTTGGGGTGGGTTGAAGCCCACCTCCGCCCTTATATTAATATATATACAGTCCGGTTCCATGCTTTTAAAACTAAGTCTATGTGGTTTAGCATACAATTTAATCTACAGATTTTGATACCCAATATGTTAAACTTATGGGTTCTAAGAGAAGAGTTAGAAAAGAACTCACCTGTAGGTTTCGAAACAAAACCAACGCTGCAAGCTTCTCCGATATGTTCTGCAACTCCGGCTATATACACACACACACATAATCATAACAACCAAGTCATTCCATACAAACAAAGTCAACATGCCAACAAATCAAATAACAATCAAGCAACAAATAAATCATCATACCAATAAATCAAATAAACTAATTTAAAACAAATAAATCAATTCAATTCAATTAAAGTTAATTAATTTAATTAAATAATTCCTACAAAATATAAGGGTATTATAGTTGATGGTGGCGCAATAGGCGGGGGGGGGGGGGGGGTGTTTAATTGGGTAGACTGATTGAGGTTATTGCAAGCTTGAAAATTTTGATAAGGCTTTAGAATTGTTAGGCGAGATGAAAGAGTATGTGGGTAAACCTAGTGTTGATAAGTACCAAAAGCTGATCCAATCACTTTGCTTAAAGGCTTTGGATTGGGAAATAGCAGAGAAGCTGCTAGGGGAGATGAAAGAGAATGGGTTGTATCTCAATGGAATCACAAAGGT